AAGATATTTTGAACAACTTATGATATGAAACGAGCCTTCCTAGCAATTTGATTTATCTGTTTATGTTTACAGATGGAACCAGACGCGTACGCGGGGTAGGGGGCCACCCCCCCCCCCCCTCCAATTTTTTTTTTTTTTTAAATTGTGCTAATTGTGACAAAAAAGTGACATCTTTTTCCAATTCCCTGGACAAAATATATATATATATATATATATGTGCTCTTAATCATATTTAAAATTAGGGGGCATTTCAAGGGCACTACTTTCGTTGGAATAATACTCTTTCACATAGGTATAAAAAGTACCTCCATACCAATTTCTTTCCACCATTACCTTAACAAAGTATACTGTACTGTATTCAAAATGTGAGCTTCAAATATTACTTCTACAAAGTGATTTTGCAATTTAAATACAGATCAATAAAACGCATTCTAGTAGAATTAGGCGCGCACGTACCCCAAGTCCGACTTGGATTCCATGCGAGCCCTAGGTTTGTATACTTTATTTTCTTCATATTCTGTAACCTTTTTTTTTTTTTTTAAAGAGAAGCGTTTCTCTAAGAGGCGCAGTCACTATGACTATATGGCTTAACTCTACTGCGCCATGCATGAAGTCTTTCGTCTATGACTGATCGTCAATGGCAATGCAAGCATCACTTTAAACAAACAGAACTTTGTTATTCCTCGCTCATTTTTCCTGATTGAGATGTCATATGAAAGGGCAGGCACAAAACTTTCTAGTAATGTAATTTTCTCTTTGAAATCCAGATACCGTCCGCCAAATGACTTTTTCATTCCCTCTCTTCAAATTGATTTTAATCACTCATGCGTGAAATATGCATGGAATGAATTGCATCAAATGAAAGAGGAGAATCTAAGCTCTCCAAATATGTGTCATTTGTTAAGTATAGTTGTGATTAAGTTATGATAAACATCGATAAGCCTCGGTTTCGTTTTTTCTGGGACGCACTGTAACGCTTTCGCATAGAATAGGGCGCGAACTTGCGTTCAATGCGAGGCACAGGTTGTTTGCATACTTGATTTACTTGTATACTATTACCGTTAAAGAGAACCGTTATTCTTTATAAATAATAACAGGTCCATGTATAAAGCGCTATGGCTATACTCTACTGCGCTTAATACAAAGTATCATATTATTACCCCGGCTGTAGCTGAGCAGCCATTTAGCATTTAGGGGATTTCTTCCTACCGGGTATCCATTTCCTTCACCTGGATGGAGAGTTGCAAATGTAGATTAATGTCTTGCCAAATGACATTAGTACCGCGAAGTGACTCGAAACGCGAACCAAATATTCATTAGATCACGACATCTCTATTCCTTAAGAAATTGCCAGGTGAAGCATTTATTTACTAAATATAGGTTGATTTCATATATTCTAGCTATACACACATTTTTTTTCTTCAGGTGATTGGTACACTTTAAAGGTACTATGTCCCATTTACAGGCCAAACAAAATGAAAAGGTTAAATTCCAACGGCATTTGAAAGATAATGCTAATTTAGAACTTCCCTGTAAAAAAAGCGGGCTTGAAAATGTCTTGAAGTGGGAAAATAACGACTATTAGTTGTCGAATCGACTTAAGAGCTATAGAGCCAGTAAGTAATAGTCTGTAATACCATTGTACCGAATGGTCATTTTATGCTGCGCAAAGATTCAATCAGTTTAATTTTGGCCAGTACAAGAAGTGGGTTAATGATGTAGACAAATGCTCATGTACCCTTTACAGCTCATTCTATGTATGGTATTACCAAGAACAAAAAGGCCAGTCAGTCACTCAATAGTGTCTGACAGCGAAGTCTAGCGAGTAAACGGGTTTCCTTGCATAATTTGAATATTAGGACACTGCTAACGTTTAAATTTCACAGATAGAACATACTTGACATATTCATAATTTCTGCAAAGTTCTACATAATTTGATGTTGGCTGCAAAAGGGACATAGTATCTTTATGATAAACAAAAAATGTTAGCACTCAAGACCTCCCTATTCCCAGCTATACGACATCATATCAAGAAAAGAACCAATGACAACAACGACTATTGGTAATTAATCTTAGTATGGAACACAGGCCGACGACGCTGAATTTGAGAGACATTGTAGAGCAGGCGCCATTAGCACCCATCAGAGACGGACACTATCACTATACAAGAAGCCATCATCGTCATCATCATCAAGTTGGTGTCAAAATAGAGTCTGTACGTGCGTGCAGACTAGCTTCTAATGTTTTTTGTTAATAGGCTAAAATAAATTTCGTCTAATTTCCACTTGGTCTAATCTCCGATAAAGTCTACTACACATTTAGTTTAATGTTTATTCAGTCTAATTTCCAGCCGGTCTAATTCCCAGTTTGTCCAATGCCCAATTTGGCTAGTATCAATCAATAATTATAATAATCATCAAATGATTATTAGACCTTAAACGAAATTGGCATTAGAAAAACTGGTAATTAGACCGACTGTAAATTAGACTAAATGAACAATAGACAAAAATGGGTGGTAGACTCGTTGGAGATTAGACCATATGGAAATTAAACCAAATTACTGTTATCCTAAATGGTCATTAGACCAAATGATAAGTGGACGAAGTGATTATTAGACCATGTAGATAGTAGAGAGGATGGATGTAGACCATATGGGAATAGACTAATTGGGTAGTAGACGAACTGGTTGTAGACCAAACGGCACTTCACCGCTTCTGACCGTGGCGTCCGAGAGCAGGTACGTGAGCAAACACGTGATACACATGACCCACTCATTTTGATGCATCAAGTAAAGGCACTCAAATAAAGGGTAAGCGAACGGTGGTGAGTGGTGGCATGAGGAGAGGACATTTCCTGTGATGCATGATATTGTCGAAAATGTCTGCATCAGGAAATGAGAGTGGACATTTTTGTTACCTCGATACGTTGTTCATAAAACAAAAAAAGTACTTATCGATCGTGGCATCAGATTCCGATGCTAACTACCTCTATTTAAGGAGGGAATCTCCCCGTAAAAGAAAGTGAGACTTTTCATTTTGAATCACCCTGTACTTAAAAAAAGGAATATCAGAGGTATTCTTCTCGCTTGTCAGCGACATAGTCATTGACAGGCGCCGTTGTTTACTTTATCATTTTTCAAAATGTCGCGTCTAACCATAGAAGGTGATAGAGACGTTTGAGTTTGATTCACCTTGAAGCTAAATCAATATGCGGTGTATCATTCTCCCTTGTCAGCCCGGTTGTTGAGAATTGCCGTTGCTATCTACCTATATTTCAAGCAGCATCCACATCTTTCAATGAAATAAAAGTGAATGGGGAAAGTCTTTTAAGGGGGTCGCGCTGTAGCCCAAATGATATTACCTGCAACCTTTCGCTTTACTTTTTGCTTACTACCTCTAATATAAAAACACGCATATTGAACAGTAGGCAGGTATAAGGGCACTTTTCAAAAGACTATTGACTGGTACGCGGTAATGAGGGCACTTTTAAAAAACTATTGACTGGTAGGCGGGCATGGCTAAAATCACGACTCCAATTTCGACCAATCAGATGGCTAGGTTTCTAAAGTGAGGTTTATAACAGCCGCCATTGCTTACTACCTCTAATATAAAAGCACGTATTTTACCATCGAAATCGATAGATACGCTTTATTTTCGGTCACCTTGGAGCTCAAGATAATCAGAGATATTTTTTTCTCTCGTCGTTACCTACTACCTCTAATTAAAGAAAGTGCCACTTGTTTCCATAAAGAGCGAGTTGGACATATTTTGTTGGGTCACCCTAAAGTTCAAATGATATTAGAGGCATCCTTCTCACTTGTCAGCGACCGGAGGCAGTGACAGGCGCCGTTGCTTACTACCTCTACTTTACAGGAGAAAAAAAACACCGCATCTTCGTATAAAAAAACGCTCCCCGCACTCTCTGCCTTCAGTTAATTTGTAGTTGAGGAGACAGCGGGAAATGAAACGTTGCATCGGCCTTCAATCTTCCCATTCCACCCGTCGAGAAAAGATCGTGCTTGCAATGTTTCCGAACTGGAGGTATATTGTGTGAATGTCTCCTCCCGCGCAACAGTCTATGGGTTACATCGTTGTGTGTTTGGTCACATCTGCATGCAGACGCTAATCGAAACTGGATTTTTAGCTTGACTTTCTTGGAATATCTATTTTAACGATTATATAATAATGGTGAGGTAGAAATAGCTATAACACCTTGGGAACACTCCTTTGGACGCTGTTTCTCTATTATGGTCACCGTTGTCAGCAATGTCCTATTATCTCGGCTTATGCATTACCTATTTTGCCGCTGTTTACAGGATAAACTTATCCTTTTCATTTCTCAATTGTTCGAAAAGGGATCGACTTGCAAACTTTTGAAAAGAAATGCGTGGTTCGTAAATGTATATGACTTATTACATGCATTTTAGCATAAGATTTGAAAGGAGTGCACATTATTCATTATTTATTATCGTTCTTATAATGACACAACAGTGCGAGTAACTCGAAATGAAAAATTATATCTCTGCTTTTGGCTTGACTATTGTCGAATCATAATAAAATGATGACCCAACACCGCATTTTGAAAACACTGCTGTTCGCACTTTTTTTATAAAGGTGCCTGTATTTGTCGCCCCAATTGTCCAGATACTGGGGAAAGGCCTGATAGAATTTCGAGAAAAATCGAATATTCGAACCCTCGGGAAACAGGAAAAAAGACTTTTGACTTTCCCGTTCGCTGCTAATGTGGAGTGATCGAGTGGAGGCGAAGATAAACATTCGAACACAACATAACGCGTTTCTCCGGAGTAATTTTTCGAGGAAACTCTTAAAAGACATCAGACGAGGGCCATCGACTGTGCTTTATGACGTTTACCATTCATCTTTTCAACTCTGTACTCATGCATTAGCATTTGATCAAGCGTGGACCAGATTGTTGTTTCTTTTAATTGCCAATTTTAGTCAAGTGTAGTCATCGTCTTTGATGATAGTTATTCTTAAACCATGAATCTTTCATCTCCGTCAAGCATCTACGCGGTCATCTTTTACAGTCTTCAGTTCATCTTTGGTATTCCAGGCAATGTGCTTATCATCGTGGTGTACATGAAGAAGAAACGGAAGATCAGTACGGACATACTGATCATCGCCCAGGGCATCATCGACCTCGTTGCATCCCTGCTCGCACCAATCAACATCATTAAGTCCATCTCCGACCGTTTCACCATCACGGTCATCTGCCGCATCGCCCTCTTCGGCAACAACTCGCTCGCGTTCGCGTCCTTGTTTCTAACCGCCGCGATCGCGCTTGACCGCTTCTTTTTCGTATGCCGTCCCTATGGTAAGAGAACGTCCAACAACCGTGCGCTATGTCTGGCGGTTGCGTGCTGGGTTTTGGGAAGTTCCCTCACTTGTACAAAGCTCATCTTTGTTGAAGCGTTTCCATCAAACAATGGCCAAAAGACGTGCCATTTTAGGGATACACTTCATATTTTTGACAAACTTGAAGCGTGGCTGAAGACATCCGGCTTTGTACTCGCGTTGGTGGTGAGCAGCGTTATGTATAGAAAAATATACCAGACCATCAGACACCAGGCAAAGATCCATGCACAGTTGGTAGGAGGGGCATCGAAGAGGGCTGTTTCACCAAGAACAGCTTTCCAACTGGGGGAAGGACTGAAGCAACCGGAGATAGATGTGAGTCACGCATATGACAGTGGTCTCGCGCAGTCATTGAATGCAACAGGCGAACCGTCAGATAGGCAAGAAGCAACGGCAATTGAAAGATGTCCGCACGGTCCAAGAACATCATATTTACAGGTGCACAGAAGTGCCATCGAGCGGGATCCGATGACGAATAACTCGGTTTCAAGTGCATTCGACAATTACCGTTCTGCGTCGCAGCTTACTCTCACGCGTTCACAAGCCAACACGGTTCCCGTCAAGTCCCGGCAGAATTCGCGTCCAAAAGTATCTGACCGCGGCGAGAACAGGACGACGAAAATGCTAATGGCGGTAACCGCTATACTTCTGGCATCTTGGCTTCCACCAATTGTCTTTTTCCATCTCAGAGACAGCACACTAGATATCATCAAACATTCGGTCACTGCTGAAACTCTGGTTTATATCGGCAGGCGACTGCCGGGCATCAATCATATTATCAACTATTTTGTTTATACTTTCATGAACAAGCGGTTTCGTGTCGATTGCAAACGTCTGTTCAAATCTCAACACTAAACTAAAAATGTACGTAAAGAAAATTACTTAACTGACATTACTAACGATATAAACTTTGCTATATCTCAGAATACTCGATAAGTTCTTTTCATCGGAAAACAGCAAGGGAGGTAGAAAACTGAAGACATGATGCGCGAAAGAAGTTTCCTTTCTAGCCGTACAGATAATACCTTTATAACAGGTTTGCAAATAATATCCTTTTTTCTCATAATGGCCAGAACTGTATCACTCACAACAAACCCTGTTGAAATGGTATATTTAGTAAACAAGATCATTAGTATCTTATGTATCTTATTCATACAGAATTACTTTTAAAAGATGTCTTAAAATATCTATAAAAAGCCAGCCATGTATAAGATTTTTTATTCTTTGTAACACATGTAATACCCTCCACCATGTCTTTCCCTTTAAATTACAAATATACTTAGAAATATCAATGTTGATGTAAGGTACAAAATACAATTTTTATATCAAAACCATTGTTTCCTTTATACTGTTTAACTGGATATGACGATTGTCCAGAATAAATTTCAACCCAAAAAAATTAAAGAGTTTAAAGCTATGTTATATATTGGAAAGTATAAAATGAAGTGATTAAGGACGAGAAATATGAAGGGAAGCATTTTTAGGTTTGTTTTCTCATGTCACATCAATATTGCTTCTTTGGTTCATGTCATGATTAACTATGCTTATAAGCTTCTTCTATATCATATTTCAAATACGTAGGTGATTTGACACTAGTAGAATATATAACAAGTACACAAACATCCCAATTACAAGGCCAACTTGAACTGATCAAATAATACGACATTAAACGTATTGAAATGTTCCTCGATGTCATTTTCATTTTCTAATCAACCTATACAACCAACTTTGTTAATTATAACACACCTTTACCTTTGGTAAATGCGGTTAAGATTATTGACGTCAAAATTCAAAGTGGCCCTAAGTGGAATATCCATTTAACTGAAATTATAAAGAAGAGTAATAGAAAATCATTCATGCTACGTAGATTAAAAACTTACAATTTACCTGTTTGTGATCTGCTGACCGTATATATCGGATATGTAAGACCAATTTTGGAGTACTGTGTACCTTTTTTCTGCAAGTTTGACTATGATACAGATTAACTCATAGCCTGCCATAAGGCTGCATGCACGCTATTGTTATAGTGCTTTGTACATGCGAGAGAGCTATCGCTTGAGTGCCATGTGCGTGCAATGCAGCATTCGTAATAGCAGTTATTGTTCATGCTCATTGGACTGTGCTGTGTATTTTGCACTCGCTATTTATAGAACCATCGCGGTAATCAGATTATCTCCAAAACAACCTGGCACGGGGGGGGGGGGGGGGTCGGGGCTTGGCACAATGGGGATTAGTCCTGTTCCATGATAAGAGTTGATGATACAGAAAGTATACAAAAAGAGCATGTAGAATAATGTTTGGATGAAACTACAGCTCACATGACAATGCAAAGCAAAACTAGAACTGCCATCTCATTTGACCCGTACAGATAAATTGATGAAGGTTTAGCCGTTACATTTGAAGAAAAAAATATGTTGTGTCTATTGTTGTTAAATACCTCCGAAGAAAACTAACAAATTCAACTTACGAAATGTCAAAAGAATATCAAGAATTTACTTGCAGAACTAAGAGATTCAAAAATAGTGCCATTCCTAATATTAAGCATACTCAATAATCATCATGCGAATAAAAGCTTGTAATAATAATCTGTCATTTTTGTGATGCTGTGACCTGTTTCAAATTTGTATGGTGTTGCTATCAAGTCACTGCTTGTTTTTCTATGTTTATACGTTTACCATACTGTCTTCTTCTCCATCCCTATTTACATTTCTCCCTTTTTCTCTCTTTGTCTCACTCTCTTTCTCTCTCTCTCTCTCTCTCTGTCTGTCTCTCTCACTCTTTCTTCTTCTTTCTCCCTGACCTCTTACTTTGTTATCGTGCAATATTTTGTATACGTTGATAGCAGGTTTGTAATCATCTTTTAATGGTATATGCATTAGAAATACTTTTCACTTCATCATTTAACATGTTACCTGACATTCATTACCTGCAATTTTATCAATGTAAAGTATTTTAAGTGATTTGGTATTGAATTCAATATGTTTTATTCACGATTGCAATTTGTATTAATAATGAATATTAATCTTTGTAAAACATGTATAATTCAGTCTTTGTACTGCAAAACATGTTTGAATATACCTTTATTGAATTGAATTGAATTGAATTGAATTGAAAAGAATTCAACGAGATTTTGATTGGCAATATATTTTAAAGAATATAATTATACTCAATGCCATTTCATACATGATATTGTAATCCTATCTCCAAATCTGTCCGTGGATTTCACAAAGAAATATGTTTGTTTTTGTCAAACGTAGCATTTTTCAAATGTCACAAAGATTATGAATCTTGATTTATTCAGCGCTCAATTCGGAATAACGTGTTAAAACGCTTTACAGATTAGTATTACCTCTATTATCGCATTTCTATTCTCTTTTAAAGATGTATAAATAATGCTTAAAACGTCTTACTCCACTTGTTTCGTTAGTATATTCAAATGCTTACTATGCCTATATAAAAAGATACAAAAGAACATTAAATCATCTTAATATTTGTGTAAGTTACATTAATCTTAATTATTAACCCAAATTTTGTGACAGGAAATCAAGTTGATTTGAGAAGTTGTCCCATTTTTTTAAGATGATATCTTCACAATTATCGTGCAGTGATCTTTGGAATATTTGAAAAATGATACACCTTACAAAAACAACTATAACTTGGAGATTCTGGCTTAAATAATCTTGAAAACCTCACAAAGCTTATAGGAAACACTATTAGAATATCGACTACGAGTTTTCATTGACGATAATGCGGCACTCCTTATGATAGTGCTCTTCGTATTCTCTTTGCCGGTATTTCAAAGACTCCCTGTACAATAGTATTGCTCACGCAGGGCTTGCGTGCTAGTCTGTGATTGCGGTTTTTTGAGTGACAAGCAATATCATCGATTATTATATATTCCAAGCACTGTAAAGTAACTACTAAAGCTCTGTCTTATAAATTTCACACCGACATTTTGTCCATACACGTTTCCCGTCAGTATAGTATTGTTGAATTCAATAGCCAATTCTGAACTTGTCATATTTCCCCCCTCTAAACTCAGCTCCGGTCGTCTCATTGCATTGGCGCCTTTGAAAACTTATTGAGCAATAGACGGAGCAATCGTTTATTCTGAAAAAGTACGTAATAGTCACGATTGAGGTTACATATCTAGAATTCATGAATCATGATTCAATAAGATTAAGGTTTTATCAATGACATGCAGACATATACGGTTCGTCCAAGAAAAAAAGGAAACCGAGAATTATCGATGTTTTATCATAACTTAATTGCAATTATAATTATTAAATGACACATATTTGTAAAGCTTAGATCCTCCTCTTTCATTTAATACAACTCATCATGATACATATTCACGCATGAGTGATTAAAACAGTTTGAAGAGAGGAAACCATAAATTCATTTGGAGGGCGGTATCTAAATTTCAAAGAGAAAATTACATTTCCAGAAATTTCGATTTCTGCCCTTTCATATGACTCATCAATCAGGAGAAATGAGCAAGGAATAACAGAGTTCTGTTTGTTTTAAAGTAATGATTGCATTTCCATAATTTGATTTTAAAACGAGTTCGTTTTCACTGGCTGCCTGTCGTAGCAACACACAGCGTTGACAAAAGACTTAACTCCGTTTCGTTGACGATCAGTCATGCATCAGGTCTTGCGTCTTGTGCATGGCTGATCGTCAACAATACGGAGTTAGGTCTTTTGTCAACTCTGTTTTTTGCTACGGCAAGCAGCCAGTGAAAATGAACTCGTTTAATCAAACTTATGGAAATGCAAGCATTACTTTAAACAAACAGAACTCTGTTATTCCTGGATCATTTTTCCTGATTGAGGTGTCATACGAAAGGGCAGAAATTGAACTTTCTGGAAATGTGATTTTCCTTTTGAAATTCGGATTCCGCCCGCCAAATGGCTTGTGGGTTTCCTCTCTTAAAATGTTTTTAATCACTCATGCGTGAAATATCCATCATATGAGTTGCATCAAATGATAGAGGAGGATCTAAGCTTTACAGATATGTGTCATTTATTAATCATAATTGTGATTAAGTTATGATAAAACATGGATAATTCTCGGTTTCGTTTTTTCTGGGACGCACTGTACACACACACACACACATATATATATATATATATGTATTTTTGTTATATTGAACGCGGACGCCTTGTATGTCTAGATGCAATAATTACATGTCTGCATTACATCCGTCAAATTGCTTCAATCAGATCCTCAATATTTGGATTGGATTATCATTGCGGAACAATTGTCGTACAACCCTATCAAGGCATCGCTCCTGTGAGCTTATTATGTTGTGATAATGTGGACGTAATTTTGGTAAACGGAATAAATCAATCTGATCTCATTTTACTCATTTAACTTGTGATTGATACAAAAGTAAAGATTTATGAAATAGGGCAGTAAATCATATCCAAAGATTTTGGAAGCCCACAACAGTGATTGGAACTTGAAATTAATAAGAACTTTTGTGAAACATTGTTGCAAATTAGATGCAATGAATTAGAAAATCAACCAGTTGCTAATTGTGATTAATCTTAAAATTCATGAATCAGGACAATAATCTAGTTATCAAACCTAGCCATGCAAATCAGTTTGCTAGGATTACGATTTTTTTTGCAAACAATCCGTAATACCAATTATTCCTCAAAACGACGAAGTAGTCCCGAACGACTGTTTGTATGTATGTGTATACATCTCAAACGTCATAATATATGATATCTGTCACATAAACTTATCATCGATGTGAATGTTTCTGAAGAAAAATCAGAATCATGCCTCACTGCGAGATTGGGATCTCAGCATGCATATCTTAAGATACGAAAATTGGGATAAATTATGCAGCAAAGGGTTTCAGTGGCATTTCCGACTACTCGCAACAAAATAATATCCGTAAACACAAACATGACAATCCGTATTGCCTGGGTCTATTAAAAATGACATTTAAAAAAAGAGGGGGGGGGGATTTAGGTCCATAAAGACCGGCTTTATTTGTTTGAACCCGATTTTGAACAAAAGCCTAAACTATCGTTGTTTAAATCCGATGCTAGTTAATAAAATACAGCCCATAGTAATTTCTGAGGTAAAATCGACATCAAAGTAAAAACGTTTCTCTTTGACGTGATTTATTTTCTGCAAAATATGACGTATCGATA